TTTAGCTTCTGACCCTGATGTCTGTCTGCTTGACTTATCTCACTCTGCCTCAGTGTCTACATCTAACCGAACAGTTCGCAGCCCCTTCCTTGCCATCTCACAAGTAATGCAAGGATCCACATTGAATTGGATGAGGAAGCGGGTTGGGAGGGAAGAGACAATGTAGGCCAGGGGCCTCTTGGAGCTGAACCAGCTGCCAGAGGCCTCCTAGATGCCCAAGCTCCAGGGGCATGTCCAGTTTGGGCCCCTTACGTTCTGATCTCATCTCTTTCTACCCAGTGAGTGTGCACTCCTCCCCTTATCCTGGGCATTCTGTTGACCCCATCTCTGTCCCTGAGACATTTTCTCCTCCTCCTTCTTGAGGGTCTCCCCATTCTGGCCCTTGCTATCTTACAGGACAGGCCATCAGGCTATTTCACGGTGCCAGCCTAGGACTCTGCCTCTGCTCCATTCCCTCTCCCAACACCCAGAACAAATCATCCCGGAGCAGGCCCTAGATTCCCTGCTCACCCATGAGCAAGGTGGCAATCCCTGGGGATACTGCTGCAGCTGGCACAAGCCTGTCGGTGAACCAAGTGCACTTGTGTGAGAGGGTTGGGGTGACCCAGGGTGGGGCAGCAGTCAGTTTGGGGTCAGGGTGGGGATGCAGACAGGCATCAGAGTGATGACATGGGCCAAAGGAGAAGCCCACAGAGGCCTCCTCTCCACAATGGTAGCCCCAGTCACCACCTGGACTCTGCCAGGCCAGTACCCCATGGTCCCCACCCAGCTGCCTGCTCAGTCTGGCAAGGTTCCTTTGCAGCCTCTGGCAGAACAGCCAGCCCCCTGCCCCCACGGGTGTCCGTGCCAGAGCAGCATTCCGCAAGCCTGGCTGCATCTCCCCAGCAGAGGCTGGGCAGGGAGGCCACTCAGCAGTGATCAGGTCACAAGGCTGGGGGGACCCAGTGGGGCCTGGGCCTCTGGCCCCCACCTCTCTGGTCCCACCATCTCCTCCTGGTTCTGGGCCAGTCACTTTAAAGGATTTAATTACTGCAACTGTGCTTCGGGGTCTTACATCTGCTGCTTCCAGAGTAGGCCACCAGGTAGGTATGGATCAAGGAGAGACAAGTCCTGGAGGCACAGAGTAAAATGAGCCCTGGGCTGCCCTGGGGACCCCAGACTCACCCCCAAGTCAGCAGCCCAGGCCACAGGATGGGGGTGGCAAGCGAGGCTGGGGTGCGGGGCTCGGTCCCTCCGCGTAGGATCGCTCTGGGGGAGCAGGTGGAAGTCTTTTCAGCGGCGAGTTGGGGGCCAGGCGCGCCCAGCTTCCCGATTTCAAGGCAGCCTCCTACCCTGGCCCCGCCTCCGTGGTGCAGCTGGAGGGCATCGAGGTTAGATTCCGGGACGAACTTCCCGGCACAGGGGGTGCTCGGCGCGGGAGGGTGAGCCGGGGTCAAGCTGCTCGAATAGGAACAGGGGGGCCTGGTTGGGGGCCGGCGGCCGAGGCAGAGGGGGCTGCGCGGGACAGCACCCACCACGCGCGTCCGCGCCCCCCGCCGGAGCGCAGGACGGCCTGGCCCTTTAAGCGTCCAGACGGCGGCCCCAGCTGACGCGCGGGCTCCAATCGGCGCCCCGCGCCCCCCGCCCGCCGCGCCCGAGGCTCCGGGCCGCAGCTGCTCGGCGTCCGACTCGCCGCGGCCCTGCGCCTCCGCCCGCCCGGCCGCGCCCCCGGGGCCATGGTCGCGGGGCCCTGCGCGGGGGCGGCCCCCAGCGCGGCGCTTCATGGAGCGGCCCCGGCCCGGCCGCCGGGGGCAGCGCGATCCCGCGGGGCCCTGTGAGCCCCCAGCGCCACGGCACCATGGTACGCAGGGCCCTGCCTGTCCCCCCGCTTATCCGCCCACCTGCCAGCTCTGCCTTCCCGAACGCACGGCCCGCGGGCTCGCGTGAAGGGCTGGAGCGATCTTGCCCCTCCCCCGGTCTTCCCGACCCCGTCTGCCGGGTCCCCGCGGGCCGGAATGCAGCGCTACGGCGCCGCTCTTGGCGGGGAGGGGGTTAAATTCCTGGGGTGGGGGCACCGGCGCGAGAGGCTGAGGTCTTGCTCGGCACGGGCGGAGGGGGCGCTTCCCTGCGCCCGGGACGGCGCCGCCCTCCGGCTGGGTGATGGGGGGAAGGGGACTCGGATTCCCGCCCGGGCCTTGGGCCACGTGGGCGCTGGAGCCGCCCAGCCTGGGGATTGAGGGTGGCTCGGGCCAAGGGCTGGGGGTGCCCCTAGCTCCGGTCCAAACTCCTGTGTGACCTTGGGCCAGTCCCCCGCCCTCTCTGGTCTGCTTGCCAGGGGAGGAGGAGAGGCAAGGGCAAAGAAGACTGGCATAGACACCCCACAACCAAAAGCAGGATCCTAGAGGTCACCAGCTTGTGCCCCCTTGCTCAGCCTGGGCTCACCCACTGCTGCCCAGGGATGAAAGGGTGGACACCAGCTTAGGGAGGCACAGATGGATGCCCCAGGTGTCATTCCGGGGCCTTCCTGGAAGTGAGGCCAGTACCCCTCAGGTGTAGCTCTGCAGCTTCAGCAGGTGTCTTCTGACTTGGGGAGGGCTTAAGGGCATGAGATCCCCTGGCCCCAGGGTGCCTGACCACCCTCCTGGTCCTGCATCTTTGCCAGGAGAGTGGCCTGGGCTGGGGCTGGGGTGTGTGGCTGCAGCTGGCACAGCCAGATGGGGAGGGGCATCCCCAGCTTCAGAGTACTGGCACATCTGGCTGGGGAGGCCAGCACAGCTGGTGGCCACCGCAGAGGAGGGGCCATACAGGGAGCAGCTGTGCCCTGCTGAGGGGCTGCCACTTAGGGATTCCGGCAGCATCTCTGTGCCCAGGATGTGACTATCGTGACTGGGCGGACGGCCTTAGGATGGAGTCACTGCCCTCCTCTTCCTCCTGAGGCCAGAGGGCTGGGGCGCACGGAAGGGTGTTTCATAATGGCCGAACAGAAGGGATGGAGCCTCCTGATCTGAAATGGGCTACCCCTAAATGGCCTGGCTTTGGGGAGCCCTTACTCAGGCTGCTTTCCCTGGAGGCCCTAAGGAGACCCTGTCCCTGCCTAAATTGTTCCCTGACCCTTCACTGACGTGTGGGGCAGTGGCTCTGGGGAAGAGGTGGCAGGTGGAGGGTTGAGTGGAGTTTGGGGAAGTACCACTGGTCCCTGGCTGGGAGAAGCCTCCTCCTGCTTAGCCAGTCATCTGATCACAGGAAATAGTGCCCCGTCCAGCAAGGCAGACATGGCTTGGCCAAGCTGGGAGGCCAGGGCTCTGGACTGTGGACCTTGCCATTCTGAGCCTTGGTTTCCCCATCTGTGCAGTAGAGGTTGATCCCAGAAGATGAATCAGAATGAGTCAGAGGAGGGAGATGGGAGGGGCTTGGTGCCACGTCCTAGTTAGATTGGCCAGGCTTGGACAGGCCAGCAGGTCTAGGACAAAGGGGGGGCCGATGGTGGCTTCTTGGCTGGGGGAAAGGGTATGGTGGGAGAACTCAAGGAAGATGGTGTCCATGGCTTGTGGCCTGGCCAAACTAGGATCTGAGAGAGCGCAGCGTGGATGCTGCTCTGGACTGTGGCTGCAGGGGGCAGGGTCCAGGGTATGGCTAGAAGCAGGTGGCCCTTGCTAGCTTGTTAAGTTTCATCCCGAGGCTGTACTCATTCAGGTGACTATGGAGTTGGGCTGGACATCATCATGCCTGCCCAGTCTGGGCCCACCCGCTGCTGCCCCAGACAAGGAAGGATGGCAGGAGGCAGGGCCCATCTCAGGTCCTCTAAGGAGGTACTGGTTTTGTGGCTTTGGGGCAAAGTACCTCAAATGAGGGAGGCTCTGCCCAGCTGAGAAGGCCCGAGGCCAGTCAGAACCTAGAATCTGTGGGGTTGGTCTGCCCAGCAGGGAGTCAGCGGATACTAATGGAACATCTGCTGTGCACTGGAACTGGGCAGGCTGTCCGTCTGCACCCCCATCTTCTGGGGAGTCTGCTGTGTCGGGGCCACGGATGGTGGGTTGGCTCCTATTCAGGGTAATTCATATGTTCTGACTATGGCTCCCTGGGCCTCAGAGTCTGACCTATCAGACCTTGAGGGCCTCCCCAGGGCTCGCCAGGTGGGTGGCCTCCAAGGTAGGGCCATCCTGGAGCCTCTGGGCCTGGGCTATCCCTGACAGGGAGCTGCTGGGCCATGGGCAAAGGGGCGCAGCAGAGCAATGAGTGAGCTCTGGAGCTCTCCAGCCTCCTTGGGAGGGCTACAGGAACAGGGTGAGGGAGAGAAACGTCACAAAGTCTCCTGCAGCCCTTGGGCCTGGGCCCACTACTGGCGAGGGAAGGGGCCCTGGGTGCTGCCTGGTGGTCAGCAGAGGCCGGGCAGTGAGTGAGCGAGCTCGCCTGACTCCTGTTCTCGAGGTGCTTGGGTTGGGCCGGCTTTTCTTCCCATGTGTGAGTAGTTGAGGGGGAATCCACGAGGCTCAGGAAAGGCTGAAGGGGTGTGTTGGAGGAAGAGGAAGGGCACAGTGAGCAGGATCCTTCTAGGTTTGCCTGGGACTCTCCTGGTTCTAGCACTCAAAGTCCTGCCTCCCAGGACACCCCATCTGCCCTGCAAACCTGAATGGGTGTCACCAAAGTCACCTTTCCTCCTGTTCCCTTCCTATCCGACTCTTCCCATTCACAGAGGAAGAGCCCCCCAGGCCCAGGAAAGTTCCTGGCTGGCCCAGGAGCTCATCTTCAGCCTGGGGGGTCTGAGTTCTGCAGGCAGCTGGCCCAGGCTGGCACCCGCCCTCCACCTCCTTGCTCAGCTTGGACTCCTTCCTCGCAGGGTGGAGCCAGGAGATGGGCTGCCTCCCTCCCTGATAGCGGGCTCAGCTGTGGGTGGGCAGGGGCCGCTGCCCTTGACCTCTGCCGTGCCTCTGCCTCCGCAGTTGCTGGTTGAGAAGACAACCGACTCACCAGCGGTGGAGTTCTCGCTGGTGGAGGACGTGGCGCTGCACTTCGCCTGCTTGATGGGCCGTCTGAACGAGCAGCGGCTCTTCCAGCCCGACCTCTGTGACGTGGACCTGGTGCTGGTGCCCCAGCGCAGCGTCTTCCCGGCTCACAAGGGCGTGCTGGCCGCCTACAGCCAGTTCTTCCACTCGCTCTTCACCCAGAACAAGCAGCTGCAGCGCGTGGAGCTGTCCCTGGAGGCGCTGGCGCCGGGCGGCCTGCAGCAGATCCTCAACTTCATCTACACGTCCAAGCTGCTGGTCAACGCCACCAACGTCCACGAGGTGCTCAGTGCCGCCTCCTTGCTGCAGATGGCCGACATTGCCGCGTCCTGCCAGGAGCTGCTGGACGCCCGCTCCCTCGGACCCCCGGGCCAAGGCACCGTGGCTCTCGCCCAGCCGACGGCCAGCTGCACCCCAGCCACGCCACCCTACTACTGTGACATCAAGCAGGAGGCTGACACCCCGGGCCTGCCCAAGATCTATGCCCGTGAGGGCCCCGACCCCTACTCGGTGCGTGTGGAGGACGGGGCTGGGACCGCTGCTGGCACAGTGCCCGCCACCATTGGGCCAGCCCAGCCTTTTTTCAAGGAGGAAAAAGAGGGAGGTACTGAAGAGGCCAGAGGGCCCCCGGCCAGCCTCTGCAAGCTGGAGGGTGGTGAGGAGCTGGAGGAGGAGCTCGGGGGCCCTGGCAGCTACAGTCGCCAGGAGCAGTCCCAGATCATCGTGGAGGTGAACCTCAACAACCAGACGCTGCACGTGTCCACAGGGCCCGAGGGGAAACCGGGCACTGGGGCAAACCCGGCCACCATGGTGCTGGGCCGGGAGGACGGGCTGCAGAGACACTCGGAGGAGGAGGAGGCTGATGATGATGATGAGGAGGAGGAGGAGGAGGAGGAGGGTGGTGGCAGTGGAGGGGGAGAGGAGGAGGAAGAGGAGGAGGAGGAGGAGGGTGGCAGCCAGGGAGAGGAGGAGGACGAGGAGGAGGAGGCGCACACAGAGCCAGAGGAAGAAGAAGAGGAAGAGGAAGGGCACAGTGAGCAGGATCCAGAGAGCTCAGAGGAGGAGGAGGAAGACGAGGAGGAGGAAGGAGAGGCCGAAGGTGGGCAGGGGCCAGTGGGGACCGGGGGGCGCCAGGGCAGCCGAGCAGACCCCCCTGCCCACAGTCGAATGGCCACGAGGTCCCGGGAGAATGCCCGGCGCCGGGGCACCGCTGAGCCTGAGGAGGCTGGGCGGCGGGGTGGGAAGCGGCCGAAGCCCACTGGAGTGGCCCCTGCACCCGCCCGTGGGTCACCAGCCACCGACGGGCTGGGGGCCAAGGTGAAGCTGGAGGAGAAGCAGCACCACCCATGCCAGAAGTGCCCACGGGTCTTCAACAACCGCTGGTACCTGGAGAAACACATGAACGTGACCCACAGCCGCATGCAGATCTGCGACCAGTGTGGCAAGCGCTTCCTGCTGGAGAGCGAGCTGCTGCTGCACCGGCAGACGGACTGTGAGCGCAACATCCAGGTGGGCCTCAGGGCGGGTTCCCACACCCCACCTTGCTGGCGGCACTGCCCAGGTGGTCTGCGGAGACCAGCCCAGGAAGGAAGGCAGGGCCCAGGTTCTCAGGGATAGTACTGGGAGTTTTCTGGGAGAGGTGGGCAGAGCTGGGCTCTAACATGGAGAGGACAGGCATAGACAGTACCCTTGGCCAGAGGAGCAAAGGTGAATGTGGACATGGGAGGATGTGAGCAGAGAACTGAGCACATGAGGCCATGGGACAGCCAAGTCTGAGGAGCATCGAGTCAGTGTTTTAATAAATCCTGAGGGCTGCAGAAAGGCCATCCGGGCCGTCTTATATGGTTTCACAGGTTGTGCACTGCACATAAGTACACATGAAAGAAAGGTTTGTCCAGTAGAGCACTGTGCAGATCAGGGGACAGACCAGCCAGGGAAACACCTGTACTCAGCTCCTCGGCTGAGGAAAAAGGGATAAGAAGTTTGGGAAGAGCAAGGCCTGCTGGGGCCAAGCTGGAGAGCTGGGCTGGTTGCCAGGTCTTGTCCAGTATGAGTCTGTGCCAGTCTAATTCCTTAGGGTGGGTGTGGCACAGGGACAGCCCAGTCCCCCCACGTGGCTTTTACCTTTTCTGGCCCAGAAGGGGGAGAGGAAGCAGTAGGTACTAATTGCCTGTGCTAATTGCTAATTGCAGTGCCCCGAGGAGACAGCACTGTTTGGGAGTGAAGCTGGGACCTGGCCCTACTCCTATGCACCTGTTCCTACTTGCCTACCCCCGGGCTGCCCTTTGGCTCTACCTGCCACACACCTGAGCCCCCTCCCCACCTGGGGATCCTGACAGCCAGCATCCTGGCCTAGCCATGAGTGCTCTGGGTGCTTTGCAGGGATGGGTAGGGCAGGGTCCAGTGGAACAGCCCCTCTGTGGCCTGGTAGGACTTGGCGCCTCTGCCTCGGGCAGGCCTCCCTGGCTGACCCCCTAAGGACCCATCCTCTGGGGGATGGATCTCCATGGTGTCAGAGCCAGGTCCCAGCCAGGGCCAGCAGTGATCATGCCTCAGCTCTGTCGGGTCGCATCCTGAGGGGCTTCCCCATGAGCTGTGGAGCTGCCCACCTCAGGCAGCCCTTCAGCCAGTGGGATCTCCCCTCTGCAGAGAAGCTCTGTCCCCTGAGCACAGAGGGGTTCCTCCTGGAAGAGGTGACTGAGGGAAGGAGGAGGGCCCGGTGTGACCCTGGGGGTGTGAGCCAGCAGGTGGCAGGGTCGCCTCCCAGCTCTGGTGGGATGCAGGCCAGAGAGGGGCATCTTGTCCACCCCCATAGGGTCCTGATAGGGACCCAGGGCCTAAAGTCCTCTCACCCTGCAGTGTGTGACGTGTGGCAAAGCTTTCAAAAAGCTCTGGTCCCTTCACGAGCACAACAAGATCGTGCATGGCTACGCGGAGAAGAAGTTCTCGTGCGAGATCTGTGAGAAGAAGTTCTACACCATGGCCCACGTGCGCAAGCACATGGTGGGTAAGTCCAGGCTGGTGAGGTGCAGGCTATGGAGAGAGGAGGCTCAGCTACTAGGTGTGCTGGGCAGGACTTTCCATCCAGGCGGATGGGAGGACTCCAATTGGAGGATAATGTGAAGGGGTAAGGAGGCCCTTCTCAGCTGGAAGCTTGGGAGGCTGCTGTGACCTAGACAGGCTCTGGAGCCAGGGGTTTTATGTACAGTTGGCCAGGTTGCTTATTGCACAGGATGGTTGGATAAAATGGCAGGTGAAAACTGGAATCCAGCTGGCATGCTGCTAACCAGGCTGTGTGTCCTGGCAGGGGGTTATGTCCACCCAAGGAAGGGAACACATTTTTCTAAATTATACAGAGTGCCACATGGACAGGCACAGGTCCTCTCTCGGTTTCACAGCAGCTGTGCCTCTGATTTTTTCTCAACTTCTGGCCCTCACAGGGCTTCAGTCTTCTCTGAATGCAACCTCCCCCAGGGCTCACACCTGGACACAGTAAGGAGGCCCCTTGGGTGTGTGTTGGCCACCCCATTGCCTTGGGAAAGGCTGCCCACTCCCTCTAGGTGGGCCTGGCTGGGTGCCTAGTGACCATATGGCCCTCCCTACCTTGACTAGTCTGGGCCCAGGGTTTGAGAAAGGGTGGTCAAGGTGGAGCACAGGTCTGTGGCCAGGCCCTGCTCCATTTCTCCACTGGAGAGTCCTGGGGGCCTTCCATTGTGAACTAAGGGAGGTACCCCTCACCCCCAGGGTCTAAGCCAGGAGCATGCTGGGTAACCACGAGGCTTAGTGAGCTCTGAGCTCAGAGGGTGGGAGTGGAGGCTCTTCTCTATCACCAGTTGCCTCCTCCCAGATCGTCTTTGAAAGGTGTTTTGGACCTCATCCATCCACAGATTTGGTGGGTTACTATTGAGGTCCAGAGGCTGGGGCCTTGATGCATGCCATCTCTGGTAAAGCCTGCGGTCCTTGGAGCTCAGTGCCACTGTCAGTCCCCAGGAATGGGTGGTGGTGCGGGATGCCCCAGGAAGTGGGGTGTGGCCCAATGCGGGGGTGCTCAGGCAGGCCCCTGAGATGTGACGGCCACGGTGCCCACCTCCAGCCCACACCAAGGACATGCCCTTCACCTGTGAGACCTGTGGGAAGTCCTTCAAGCGCAGCATGTCCCTCAAGGTGCACTCCCTGCAGCACTCGGGGGAGAAGCCCTTCAGATGTGAGGTGAGCACATGTCTCCTGCCTGTCCTGCCCAGGAACCATCCAGGAGGGTGGGGACCCCAGCAGCTTAATACCAGAGGTGTGTGTGGAGGGGGGGGGACAGGAAATGGAATGTAGTTACCAGAGATGCCCCCCCTCTGATGGCAGGGCCCCTCCCCTGCTCCACCCACACCTTGCCTTTTCCCCACCCCGGCCCCACCCATGTTGGGGGTTGGAAGTCTGTGGGCTTGGGGGATAGGTGGGCAGGAGAGGTGGAGAAAGGAGCCTCCCTGCTGGGAGGACAGATGGAGATGCAGAGCTGCAGGTGGGATGCGGGCCCTTGGGAGAGGAAGGATGAGGGGCTTTGGGCTTTATGGCTGGGACCCTCTGCTGTTTCTGACCCCTGATCTCAGCCCGACTCCTGCATGCCCTTGGCCTCCCCTAGTACTGCCTCAGCGCCTCACCTCCTTGGCCAGGAGCCCCTGCCCCATGTCTGTCTTTGGCGCTGGGGCCAGGGGTAGCTGGTCCCTCCCTGAAGGCTGCTCTTCTCTGCCCCGGGCCTCACCCACCCCTACCCCCAGAACTGCAATGAGCGCTTCCAGTACAAATACCAGCTGCGGTCACACATGAGCATCCACATCGGCCACAAGCAGTTCATGTGCCAGTGGTGTGGCAAGGACTTCAACATGAAGCAGTACTTTGATGAGCACATGAAGACCCACACAGGTGAGGCCGCCCCCAGGGGTGGGCTGGACCTGCCCCCTTCTCAAGATGCCTGAGATGGCCTTGGCCGTGCTCTTCTCAACTCTGGGTCTCAGTTTCCCATTCTGTATGAGGCTCAGCAGGGCATCCTTCCTTCTGCCCAGGCTTGTGTGAGCCTTGGCACAAAAATGATCCTAGGTGGGGAGGACCCGAGAGTGCTGAGGTTGTCCCCCCCGGGGTTCGATGGGGCAGAGAAGCTGGCCCAGGCTTGGGCATGGCGACCACCCCTCCACCCCCGTGACACCGTGCTGCCCACCCCAACCCCAGGGGAGAAACCTTACATCTGCGAGATCTGCGGCAAGAGCTTCACCAGCCGGCCCAACATGAAGCGGCACCGGCGCACGCACACGGGCGAGAAGCCGTACCCGTGCGACGTCTGCGGCCAGCGTTTCCGCTTCTCCAACATGCTCAAGGCCCACAAGGAGAAGTGCTTCCGTGTCAGCCACCCGCTGGCCACCGACGGGTCCCCGGCCCCCGGCCTGCCCACTGCCCCGCCCGCGCACACGCTGGCCCTACTCCCGGGGCCACCGCACCTGCCACCTCCGCCACCACTCTTCCCCACCACGGCCCACGGCGGCGGCAGGGTGGACGCCAACAACTGACCCAGCGCTCCTGCGGGACCTGGAGCCCAGGGCTGCTCCAGGAGGGACCCCGCTGCCCTCCCCTCCTTCCTGGGGCCGCTGCCCCGGAGGCCCTGACCCCGAGGGGCGCGCAGGCTGGCAGCCCCCCAGAGCTGGTGGAGGACACCTCACTCCGAAGTGCCCCCCTTTCTGCAACTTTTTGAAGCCTTTACTTTTTTTTTTTTTTCTTTTTTTGAAAGTGAAGGATAAAAGATAGTTTGCAGCACCCCCTCCAGGTGAGGGGGGTGCTGGAGGCAGCAGGTACAGTGGGAGGGAGGGGCCTGAGCATGAGCCACAGGTATGGCTGGTCATGGCTCTGAGTCCTGAGCCAGGCTGGGCCTAGGTTAGCCTCAGTAATTCATCCTCACCTCCTCTGGGCCCCTAACTTGCCCCATCACCTTGGAGGCTTTGGGGAGAAGTTGGAGTATCAGCTCCCCCTGGAGAAGTTGTGTACCCGATCTGAGGGCTGTGGACACAGAGGCAGGGCCTTGAGACTGGACATCTGTGAGCATGTGGGATGGGAAGTAGCCAGGTGCAGACCCAGTTCTATTCCCTGTGTAGTACGCCAGGTGGGGGCTGGCCCCCAAGGATTTGCTTTACTCATTTATACCCTTGCTATCAGGCACAGAGATCACCAACCTGCACCACACTGCACCCGGGGCCCCAAGTCTGGGAGGTGTCCCAGAGTTGCTGGACCTCAGTTGCTGTGGGCCAGGCCCTGGGTAGGCAGACAGGCTGACTTTCTGCAGCACCTTCTCACTGGGGTTGCAGTCAAGGAGTCCCTGCAAATGGCTGAGACCCCAGGGGCAGGGCCCCAGGAGGCTTAGGCAAACATTTTAGGGTTCCAAGGTGCTATCAGTGGGGAGGGGAGAGGGCTGCTGTTCATAGAGCACCCCTGTCCTTTCCCAGCTACCCTGGCTATATTACCTACACCAGGAGACGTGCACATATGTCTGAGTCTGTCAGCTCCCCAAAGGCTAGCTCCAGGCCTCATCCCCTCCCTAGGCCTAGCCACGACCTGCCCAGCTGGCTCCATGCCCCTCCAGGGTCTCTGCACTGATGGGTGGGCACCCACAGACCTGCCTGTGAGAGGAGCCTGCATGTTCAGGCCCTGGGGGAGCCCAGCCTGTGCCCAATGCTTGCCCCAGGAGGCAGGCACTACTAATAGGATACCTTTTTTTGTTGTCATTTAACGTCTTTATTCCTACCTTTAAAAGTGGGAGGAAGGTTCCATAAGCTACATGTTTCCTAGTTAAGCTCTTTCCTATTGTGTTTCTTAGATTTTTGTTTGTTATACTCTTTGCACCTTACACCCCCAATTCTCCCCCCACACCACCCACCACCTTCCCAGTACAGCTGGAGTGGGAAGAGGCCTGGGCCCAAGGGACTGGTAGAGGAACTGAACCCCTCTGACCTTCTTGGAGGCCCATGGCGCGGGGGGGCAGAGGGCTGGGGACATTTTAATCATCAATAAACGAAGCACTTTATTCTGTACAGATGTGGGCAGGCCCAAGGTGCCCGAATGATTTGAGGATCTATAGTCCAAGCCACACCACGCTAGTTATTTTGGGCTTGGAGGGGCAATTCCTGCAGCTTCCCGGTGCTTGGGCCCTTCCCTGGCCTGCCTGAGTCTGAGACTGCTGTTGGAGCAATACCAACCAGAGTCTATAGATAGACCCTCAGGCACCCCTGTGTGTCCTCTGGGAGAGAAGCCCCTTCCCGGGGATGAGGTTCCAGCAACTTGCAGAGTCAGGGCTGAGCCTTGCAGCCTCCTGCTTTACATAGCTTTTCTTCCTCCCCCATCCCCCTTGATCTCTGGGCTTCCGTGATGTCCTCAGGGTCCCCTTCCCTCCCACTTGTTATTTCTAACCTCTGGCCCCAGTGCCTGGCAGCTCTTTAGAGCTGGCTCACATTTCCCCCCCAAAGTGGATCTCCCCATGTGGGCTGTAGGCAGGTACCCCATGGCTTCTCCAATTCATCACTGGCACTAGGGTCTTCCATGGCCCTCCTTCAGCCTGAGTTGACCTGCAGTCTGTCCCGCCATATTTTAGCAAGCAGAGGTCAAAGGCAGGGAAATGGCAGAGAAACCGTGTGCCAGGAGCTGGATTTCCTGGTCTTGTACGTGTCCTCTGTAGAGGTAGGCAAGGGGGTCCAGGCAACTGGCTGGGCACTTGTCAAAATGGTCACTGTAGCTGTAGGTGGGCATGGCCAGCCCCTCTCCTGGGAGGCCCTGTGTTCCTGGTGCTAAACGTTGTCTTCATCTTGGGCCCGTGTTGAGGGGGAACACCTTTCCGGTCAGACCACAAGGCCAGAAGCAATAATGGAACCTCAGCAGTGCCGGTGTGGATTGGGGTTCTCGTTTTATCAGCCTTTAGTTTTCTTTTTAAGACAAATTGCTGAGTACCCAGGTGTTGGTGTGAGGGGGCTGGGGAAAGGGAGTCTGGGGATCATCACCTGGGGTGGAACTGCTGGGATTCCTCTGTGCAGCTGGGTTTTTTTCCAGTCTGTTGGACCAGATCTCAGGTGGCAGAGCCTGGGCCTGCCACCGCCTCGGCTTCCCTGGGAACTGTGGTCTTGGGCCAGCTGTGGGGGATGGTGAGCGTGAGAGGTGGGCCTCCAGCCCCTTGACCACAGTTCTAGGAGCCAGGACTGGGCTCAGAACCTGAGCCTGTGACCCTGGCTTGTGCTGCCACAAGCTCCACAGTGCCCTTCACAGGGGCCTAGGTGTGGGTGCCCTGCAGCCCCAGAATGTGGGGGACAGCAGGGTGAGAGTGAGAAGAGCGAAGGGGAATAAAGTCAGTACAACTCCTGTCCCTTGGCCTTTTCTTTACACCTTGCTGCCCCACTGCCCCGAGCAAACGCAACACGTCATCCAGCAGCTTGGCATGCAGGCTCCGCTGGCATCTGTGCCCTGGAGCACCGAGGGCCTCATCTCCCTCCTGTCAGCATGGGCTCAGCTTCACAGAACCCCAGAGCTGAGGCAAGGGCTGGGTCAGATAAGGAGGGGCCTGAAAGAGGACAGGTCCTGGGGCTGCTGAGGTCCTAGCAACAATGGCAATGTCCACAGGAAGCCAGGGCCCTGCCATGTAGTTTCCCATGAGCACCAGGCATGGAGCCCCAGGATGGCAGGGACCAGTGTCTCCCATCCGTGTGCTCAACCCCAGGGGTGCTCTATATGAACCTATCCCTCTCTTGTCCCTTCAGTCCCTGGGGACCTCTGAGGATTATTTTATTGCACAGCTAATATATGTAGCATGCTCTCTGTGCTAAATGGAATCCTAGGCCCTGGGGACATACAGTAAATGAGACCCTAACCCCTAGATACATATAGCAGGGTCAGACAGGACCTCCCGGGACTGGGAGAGAAGCGTGTGGGCAGGTCCAGTGACAGAGAGAAGGCAAAGGATCCCAAGAGCTTGATGTTGCCTTTGCATAGTCCCATTTGTTTGAAAGCCACAACTTCAAAACGAGGCTTGCCAAGATGCCTGGGAACTTCTGGTGAGGATTCTTTATCTGTGTTTCTCCTCTCTCGTCTCTCTACACATCCTTTTTTCCTTTAGCTGTCTGTCCTCTGCCCCTGACCTCACCCTTCTACCTGCTACTATTTTCACAATAGTTCCAACTTCACATTCCACAGAGCCTTGGGCTCTCACTGGGCCACGGCAGAGACTGCTGGGTGGCAGTGGGTTGCGAGTGGTGGCCGCAGTGGTCAGCATAACTCGAACACTCACCTTCACCCAGTTTTGCCCTTTGGGTCCACGCAGCTCACAGACCCCTCTCACCCAGAAGCCTAGGTGAGAACAGCAAGGGCCCCTGGGGGAGGTTGAACTTTCTGTCCTAAAGCATGGTAGGCAGCCATAAGAAAGGACGTGTACCCACCCCCCCACCCCCCGCCTTGGGCCTACACCCCAATTATGTGGCTTTCAGAGCCATGGCTGGTAAAGAAGCGGTCAGGCTGGGTCTGCTGTAGTGACAAACTACCTCCACATCTCAGAGGCTCAATGCCCCTGGCTCAGGATGCAGCTCCAGAGCAGGAATTCTCTACAAGGAAGCTCTCTGTGGATCCATCATGTTGACAGAGTGATTAGAGCCAGGGAGGACACAGGCCGGGGAATGACACCTTGACCTTTCAGGGCTGCCATCCAGAGGTGGCTTAAGAACACTTCTGCTTGTCTATCATTATCTAAAGTTCCATGGCCATGCCTCAGTTCAAGGGGATGTGGAGATGCACCCCTGCTGAGTGCTCATCCTGGAAACACGGATGAGCAGCAACATGCTCTCCAGCGGCCAGGCTGCTAGGTGACCAGCCTGTGGAGCAGATTTCTAAAGTCTCTGGAGGGTCAGCAACAAAATGGAAGAGCAGCATCTAACAAGGCTCTGGGCAGCTGGAGGTGGAATGAACCTACTTGGTTCATCCACAGATGACAGGCTTGAGGCCTATGCAGAGCAGGGAGGAGGACCGTCCATCCATCCTCTAACCATATCTCCAGGGAAGAAACAGCAGCTCGGTTGGACGGCTTCTTGAGCCTATCTTCTCACCCTTGCCTGAATCCAGCTGAGATAGAACCTCTGGAAAACCCTGTGGCCAAACCTATCCCCATGCACCCTGAGGCCTCTGCCAAAGACAGCAGCTGTCACAGACTGAGAACACTGTACAGTCACCCCTTACCCTGCAACCTTCGGAAGTGTCAGAATCTAAGAGTGTAGGCTCAGAGAAATAAAGCCTCAAAAAGCAGTGGATCCAGGACTTGAGTTCAGGTCTGTCAGGTACCAAGGCCACATTCTCTAGGCACTGCACAATGCCCCTTCCCCTCTGATCGACACAGAGCTGGGCCCATGGTGGTATTCAGGAGAACCAGGGATGTTTGCAAACAATGGAGCCCCTCTAGCTAATTTAAGCAGAAAACAATTTTATGGAAGGCATCAATTAAATCTGAACAGAACCAGAGACTTAATCTCTGGGGGTGTTGTGGCACCTCCTCCTCCACCGAAAATCTGAGCTAAGCTTCTCCAAAAATCTTCACCATAATTGATTTTAGGACTATGAGCAAAAAGTCTCTACAAAAGAGTTCAATGTAAGTGAACTTCCTATTTTCCTGTTGCT